TTAGGACCTCAAACCCTACATCACATTTTACTGTGTGAAGAGACATGGTGTCCCGCTCTATTAAGGATGCTGGGCTAGAAATAAACAAAAAAAAATGGGTAACATGTATGTTCATGTGCTGTCGTCAGGTTGCAGGAACAAATCTTGCATAAATATAACTGAAACACACTTCCTGGGTATTATTATTGTCAAATCAAAGACAAAAATTTGGCCCGGAATTCTTAAGTAAGGAGACGTCTTGGAAGACGTAGGTTCGAAGTGGAGATTAATATCGAAATGGATCTTAAGGAAACAGGGTGGGAGGTTTGTTGACTGCATTCGCAAACTCAAGCTGAGGTCCAGTGTCTAGCTGCTGTGACTACGGTAACGAAATTTCTGGTTCCATGAAGTAGGGGAGTCTCTTCAGTAGCTGAGCGAACATTATCATCTCAAGAAGGCTGTATCCATGGAGTGGGTAATTCTTCGTCGGCTTGTTCTTCCATCGACGGATTATTCCCTCTGTACTCCACTACTTTTAAAATCAATATGAAAACTATGAATTCTATAGGCAGTTTATTAGACTACTTAGTTGGAGATTAGCCCATCGACAGGACGTTACTTACGCAGGAAAAAACAAGCAAAGAAACCCCGCAGATATTCACCCATGTCTCGACTGGAAATCGTGTCCACGATTCCAGTGTTCTAGTGGAGAAAGATATTTCCTGCCTGAGACCGCATATCATCTGTGATCAGCGAGTTAGACAGTTATTTACTAAATTATTCTAAAGTGTGAAGACATCTTCAAGAAGTCACAAGACTTCGTCAGAGCATATAATAAAAATGTGAAGTTGGGAAGTGAATAAGATCTCCATTTATAAAATTCATATCAAGAGAAAGCGTAAGCAGATTCTTAAATCCACACAAAGCACAGGAGAAGGAAACGTTGAATAAAAATGTATGTACTTCACCGGGTTTTATATTAAAGCTCAGAGAGGTAAAGTACGGGTCCAATTTACGCAGCGTAACAGCTGATATCATGGAAAATTTGCGGGAAAATCTAAAGTCAAGAGATTTCTCTATGGAAACTGTGATAAGAACAAGTATACACATCCTTAAAGAACTAGACGTATTACACGACATTCTTCTAAAATTATCAAAATTATATTTTGTCCTTAATTTGAAATCTGAGAAAAATATTTCTTTGTTCTTTTCATTTATACAATGTAAATCATTTCGATAAGAGTTATTTTATATGTCAGTTTTTATATTTATAGTAATTCATTCATTCATTCATTCATCAGTAATCTGTCAGAGAACAGGTCCACAGTCTTTTCCAAAACAGTTCCTCCACTGAATGCGATCTTGAGCTTTCTCCTTCAAATGAGAATATCCTCTTCTGTCCCCAAGATCATCCAGCATCTTCTTACGTCTTCTTCCTCGTCTTCTGGTCACTTCTATCCGCTCCTCTATCTTCGCATACATGGTATCTCTGTTTTTGGAAAGAGACTATCCAGGAAAAGTGATAATGTGGTAGTTTTTCCATTTGCTTTCCACATCGCAGTACAACAGCCGTTCAAACCACTCTGGTCACGCCTGTTGCTATACGAACTTGAACCATCTCGAGCATCATTTGCTCTGTGCTTCAAGTCGCTGCTGATGACGCTGCTTCCTGCATCAGTTTTTGGTTTTTGGTGTCTCTCTTCGTCTGATGCCTACCCTTTGACCTGTCCAGCAAGGGAGGCCCTGCCAGTAGCTACGCTACCGCTGGTAGAGCTCTCAGGCTCCTTGGCATACTCAAACCCCCTCACCATGCTAAGGTGGAGACACCTTAAATACACATTTAAAAATCTGGGTTCCTTATTATAGCATTTGAACCTACATAAGAGACAAATTGTATCAGACGGTCCCAAAGGCTCCACGCCGCTAATTCCAAATCAACCATTGGACATAATCTTGAGACACCAAACCAGATGCATGATGCCAACCTCGGGTATAATTTTAGGTCTTAAAATTGGACATCTTGCAGAATGATTCCCACTAAAATTATGTACGCACTACCTTTCTCCCCTTACCTAATCATATATCCGTCCTATCGTAGCCTCGTGCATTTCAGTATCTTACATTGTCTGTACGAAAGACTAAAGCTTATGAAGCATTTACGAAAACGACAATGGAAGCACTGGAACGTGTTCTTAAATCGTGTTTGTAATGTCCTCCTTCGCCCCCTTCTCAAATATATTTTCATATGTATGAGTGACTAACTACAATTAATTAATATACTATTGCTGCTTTATACAGTGTATAATCACTCCGCACTAATCTAGTCTGTTTCCACTAGTCTTCACTTATTTGTAACACAGGAAGTACATATAAAAGTCTCCCTACATCATACACTCCAGTACTATGTAGCACACGTGAAGTCTTCACATGCTGACCTCTTGTAATATCTATACCCCCAGTTCCAATACGTTCTCTCCTTACTTGTTTGTCCTCGTGCTTCTGCCGCTGTTATTCACTCATAACTCTCCTGAAATGAAGTGTCATCCAGTTCATTTCTCTTATAATCACTCTGCACAAACACCACGGAAAACACCTATTTTGGTAGACGTGTTTACAGTTCCATTGCTTAAAACAACACCGTTGTTCTACTGTTGCTTGGCGCGGACGACATAGAAAACACAGCCTCCTCTATTGTTCCATGACATAACAACGGGCTATTTTTCAAGAATTTGTCTTCGCGGGAACTCGTTTACCAACATTTTGCCTAGCAATATGTGTACATGTAACAATATATACATATACTGTGACGTGGATGGCATAACAGGAAGTAGGGGTCACGTAAACTTTGCGGTCTCGCGAGTGACGTCACATACCCTCACTCCTTCCATATTGTTATTCTGTGAAGTTTAGTGTCTAGGTGTAAATGTAGCTATTTTCTCAGAGATTTTAAAATTACCGAGGTCAGGCATTTTTCGCGAAGTTTATTCTTTTAACAGTTACGATTTGAAGTACCAACGGGTTCTGTGCTACTACTAAGAATAGGCGTACTCGTGACCTACGCAAATAACGAATTTCCTGATCGCTCCGTAGCTCAGGAGGTTAGTCGCTAGCTTCTATCCCTGGTCAGGTCATGTAGGATATGTGGTGAATAAAGTGCTATTGGGCGGTTTTTTCCAGGTACTTTGCCTTCCCCTGCGAAATCTCATGCCACCTATTGCTTCACATTCATTAATCATCCTCTCATTGATGATATACAGCTTCAATATTAAGAGCATCGTTAAATAACCAACGAAAACGATATTCTTTGTTACAGCATATAAATTTCTATTGGCTTCTAATATATTCTAATGCTTTGTTTTCAAATATTTGTGATTCATGCGAGAGATCATTTGTGACGTCCGCTCTGTTGCTCTGCATTTCCGTCTTCAGCTTTTATAAAGAGCAAAAGCGAACTTTTTATTAGCTGTGTTGAACCTTCGTGTTCTTCTGTCATAGCGTTAGAAAATTAACGTGTGTTTGGCCATTAAGCAGATGCTATTAATTATTTCGCCAGGAATTTTAATTTACACGATTTAGCGAGTATTATAGTTTAATGTGCAACACAGGACTGTACTCTGAACTGACCCAAAGTCACGTTTTGTTTACACAAAATAACTATTTGGAATTACTTAAAATATTTTAAAATGAGTACCTCAAATGTATCAAAAGTCTTCCTCATACGAATAATGCATTCTTTTACAAGAAGTTATCTATTTCGACTTTCATTCGGAAATGATTCACGAAGCATCAAAAGTCTCCAAAGCTGACGAACTTTCCCAGCTTTCAGGATATGCTACTAATTAAAGAAGGTATCAGATTATCATAAGATGGATATTATGAATAATGCTTCTGCTTGCGTCGTCCATTTTAGTCTTTCTTTACTGTAATTTGTCCTATTTATTTGTACGCATGTCTGCTGGAACACATTAACAAGATCTGGTAAAGGATAATTTACTTTCTTCTTGGCTCTACTATCTTCTGGGAAACTTTCCTTTTTTCATAATAGATATTCATTCTTCTTTATTATTATCATTTGTATCCACTTCTTCACCATTTACTATTATTCTCGTAAATTTTTCTATACACCTTCGAACCATCTCAATTTGGATCTGCTTGTAATATGTTACAAATATTCTTAGCCGCCATTGCTTTACTCACATGCAGAGTAATTTAATGTAATAATAATAATAATAATAATATCCAGAGGCCTCAAATTGCGTACTGCTACAGGACTACTATATATGTAGGTGAGATGTTTTGTTACTAATTTTCAGATTTGTTGTTGCCTGCAGCGCATGAAGCCACACAGCTGGTGAGAATGAAATTCTGTAGCAACATATATTTTCAATATATTATTTAAACGTCCCACTTTTGAATGTTTGGAAAATTAATCCGTAATTAATTTAGCCGTTAGTATGTCGTAATTTACATTCGTAGGTGTCATATGTTTATACCGCCGAACAGCGATGAGGAATCACGTTAGCGAAGCATACTGCTGAAAAGAGAAAAGCAGGGACGGTGTATGTAGGATTTGGAAGGCAGGATTTTAATAAACTTCGTAAATGTTTTTCCACATATGTACTTCTTAGACATTTATAGATTTGCTGGCACGGGTAACATTTCTAAGAACTTCTGTCAAGTAATTCGATATTCTTATTTAATTTTGTATGAAAAATAGTAACTGTGATCAAAATCACACGAAATACAAACATAAAGTTTTATGATTACAGCATTTACTGTAAGAGGAGGTCGCTTGCAGTTACGAGGAAATCTGTGATCTAGGAACCGTACCCTGAGAGTATCTTATACAGTCCCTTCGGACAACTTCTGTAAACATAAAATGGATGGTTGAAATGAAAAATAATATAGAAAATGGAGTCAGACACAAAATTTATAGGCAAAACTTACGTAAAGTGGCTTTGAAGACGATGCTTCGATCAGTTCGTGGTAGTACTTGTGAAGAGATAAAGTAGCTGGCAAAAATGGAAAAGGAAAATTTGCGGGGTAGAGAAGAGATTCTGACTAGTGGTGGTTGTAGTAGTAGTGGTAGTGGTAGTAGAAGTAGAAGTAGGAGTGTTAGTAGTAGTACTCGTGATAACGGTGATATTGGTAATTGCAGTAGCAGTCATGACAACAGCAGCAGCAGTAGTAGGAATAGTAGTGTTAGTAGTAATAGTAGTAGTGATAAAGGTTGTATTGGTAGTTGCAGTAGCAGTCAATGCAACAGCAGCAACAGTAGTAGTAGTAAGAGTAGTAGTGTTAGTAGTAATAGTAGTAGTGATAAAGGTTGTATTGGTAGTTGCAGTAGCAGTCAATGCAACAGCAGCAACAGTAGTAGTAGTAAGAGTAGTAGTGTTAGTAGTAGCAGTACTGATGGTGGTGGTATTACTACTATTACCACTACTAGCAGTGGTGGTGATAGTAGTAGTAGCAGCAGAAGAAGTAGAAGTAGTAGTAATCTTCATGATGTACAGTACTGCAATAGATTTATACCGAAACATTGGAACATTTGAAGGACATACAGCTTGGAGTATACTGCTGCTTTATTTCAAATATGAGTAGCGAATATAAACAAGCACATGATCGCCTGCAGCTGCACTGCAGTGTTGGTGTTGCTGAGTGCGTCGGTGGAGACATAGTCCGCTCTTGGCATTCACCGCGTGCCTTATGATCCACATGCACAGACATCAAGGCCAACAGTGAACACGAGGAGCAAGACGGATTCACAGGTTGCAGTGCCACGTTCCAGTTACTTCTGCCAGTTCATACTTACGTGTACATCAAAGTACAATCACTATAATATGTAGGAGCCGTTTGCTCAGTCAATATGGTAACTAGATTATGGGTCAAAGGCCGGAGTTCGAACTCCGGCACTGGGAACGAGCCAGTCTTCTAATCTTTACGTACAGTGACTGTATCCTCGAAGATTAAGCAAATGGATTGTACAGATGATTATATGCCTCCAAGAAATATTGTGGTTAAGAATGCAGTGAAGTTTAACCTCCACTACCCCTACGTCTTCTTGTAGTTGTGCACAGATACATTTTTATCTTATTAGCGTATATGAAACAGTTGGATTCTCAATCTTTATGTTGATAAGTAAAGCAAAGGTATCCTTGTAACAGTCCATGAAGGCCCATAGGATTGTGAGATGTTGAGATTCCCACATTTTCTAGATAATTGGCTCATATATGGCGGTAAGGTTATATTGGTAGAAGAGACAAACTGATTTCCATTAAAAACAGCTTACGAGGAAGAATGCTATCTTCTGAGATATCAAAAACGGGCGTTTTGGAGAAAGTTTTGGCCTACATACTCGCAAAAAAAAAAAAAGCCTGAAGCTGGATGCAAACAGCGCAGTGCATGATTAGTCGACTTCTCCTTCCTTCAGATAGCGGGCCGAGTCCTAATTCGGACTGGATGGTGGACGAAGTGCCTTATTTTTCTGGAATATGGTTCCTTCTCTTGTTAACATAACAGCATATGGTAGCTAAAATTTAAGGAAGTTATAGCGTCGAAATCAATAACACACAGATATTCCGTTTAATTAAAAATGAGGTTGAGGTTAAGAAATCGAATTCCATCAAAACTTCTACCCCAATTCTTGCTCTAACAGGCATGGCTGGTAACAGCATGGAGTCGCAGCAGGAAGAATAAAAGTTACATTTCTCTTTATGCTAAGATAGAGGACAACTGCAAGATCTACTACGACGAGGGTGTAAATAAATGTCGAGACAAAGCGGATTATGGGACTGCTCTTGAAGTGGTGTTTCATAATACAGTCCCAAGGACACTCCAGAAGGATTCAAGGTATTGTCGCTATCTCTACGAGGACCCAGTGATGTTATACGTCAAAACATGATCTCAGTATTGCCAACGCACACCGCCTGAATCCTTGAGGCTGACTCAGAATCTTTTGTGCATCTGGCAGTGTTACACGCTGGTCAGCGTAAGCCTTGACTTTCAACAGTGAAATTTTCATGTGTATTAAGTATTAATTAAACAACGATTTTGTTAAATTCATGGAATATGACAAGTTCACTGGGAGACTAGTCATGTAAGGTGAGTTCATTTTGAGGTTATATCAAGAAAGAGAGGAAATTCTGATCTTTTCCAGTAATGAACATGTTAGTACATCATTTCTTCAAGCAAGTCGTTGCGTGCTTTGCTTTTCCTCTGTCTATTGCGCTACTTAAATATATTGTTGATTTCATGACTTGTCCACCAAATGTTGTCTTTAAACTGTTGTTTTGTATATTCTTGGAGCCCATCCTGCGTTACATGCACAGGATTCTACGTTGTTTTTCTAAGTACAGGGTTACCATTTGAGATTCAGATGTTATGTAGACTTCGAAAATATGGGATTTTTGTATTTTTGTTTTAATTTTTATAAATAATTATATTTGTGATGCCGATCACAATGGCCTGTGGTAATATACGTGTTTAACTTTCTGATTCTGCCAATGTTAAGTCCTGGTATTAAATCTGTGCTCATTCTTTTGCGGTTTTAATACACATTTGGGGACCTTTCTGGGTCGAAACTAACAGGTCGTTGTGTTTCTTACCTCAGTATACTCACCAGGACTGTGGGTCACATGTACATCAAGTGTCAGAAATTATCTTTATCTCATTACTGATATGAAAGCCATTGAGATACCAAGTGAGACAGGTAGAAACAACCTTCTTCAGGAATACTTAAGCTCAGTATCATTACTGCTCTCTAAAGGAAATTTTGTGCAAAAATGAGCATCCAAGAGAAAGTTCCGCTTCTCCTCACATTAGCACTGGCTCTGCTATAGCAACGGTAATGACAGAATGGCGAAAGTTATTGTTTTTGTAGATGACCTTGACGTCTCGTAAAAGTGTTTTTATAATTAACAAGTTGGCAAAGTTGGCTGCAAATCATTCGGTGGATCTAAATATATTCTTCACGCAACTGGAATGTAATTTAAGTTGACGTTTGACTGACGTGAGAATTGCCATCATCAGATCGTGACTCAAGATGAAAGACACCTGTAAAGAGAAAAAAATTATGGATTGAGAAAATTTATATCAATTCAGCAATAATATGAGATGTATTCATAATGATACGATTATTGCAGAGTCAACCAACAAATATAATCATCTTACCGTTAAACATATTCTTAGCACTAATTATAGTATTATAAATGCATAATGTTTTACTTATGTAGACTACATACATTTTCATGTGTTTTTGTCTTCATGTGCCTCATTTGACTTGATTTTAATTTGTTGATACTCTAATTCTCTTGTAACACGTACGGACTCATTTTTACAAAGCCAATCATACCACAGTGAGTCAGAACGTATATTCCCTTATTTTCTTTTTGAAAATTAACTGTATCGAAAAAGGAGCCGCGGTAGCGTAGTCGGTATAGCAACTGGCTATGAGCTAGATGACTGAGGGGTCGGAGTTCGAGTCCCGATAGAATCAAGAATTTTCTCTTCTCCAAATCATCGCGACCGGCTCTGGGGCCCACCCAGTCCCCTATTAAATTGGTACCGTGGGATCTTTCCCCGGGGGTAAAGCGGCAGGGGCGTGAAGGTGACCACTCACTTCCAGCTATTGCCGAGGTCAATAAAATGTGAGTCTATACAGCAAATTCTCCACACGCCTTCATGGTTTAGTGTTTAATTTGGTAAGCACAGGGACAAATTTATCTTTTACGTTAATATACGGACAGATTTTTGGGCATATCATGTGTTATGTATGTTTAATTCGTGATCTTTGTAGAAAAACCGCACGAGGATTCTAACTTTTCACGAGATTATATGTAAATTTTTGCTGATATAATTCAGTTTTGACAAATGTAAACATGACTTCTGCACGAACAAAACTTTGTGAATCTCGATAAGTCATTTTATGAAATCGGACAGCTAATTTCTCATTACTTCTTTAGTGAACAACAGGATTCATGTTGTAATATTCTAGTGGAATAAAGGTCCCCTTTAATGCCAGTTCAGTCGAATTACTCGAACGTTCTTCTTTAGACTCTGAAATAATTGAACTCGGAGTTTCACGGCGACTGCCGATGCGTCATGATCCAACGCCATGCAGCCCAGACCGATGTTCGTGACTGCTTACCATTGATATTCAGATTAAAACGCCAAAAATACAGTACAGTCAAAACAAAACGCTGCTTCTCCGCCATTTGTGATTTTCTTTTGTTTTGCACAACTACATTTCTACAAGGGGCTCAATATCGCTTCTTATGGTAGTAACTCCGTAAGGCTTTTTGAGTTCTTTGGCTCTCGGGCTCAAATGTACCTATTCTTTGTATTTATTTTCGTTTATTTAATGAAACCCACAGTCCTGATGCGAGCTAGAATACTTCCACAGTAGGCCTGCAAGTAGCAGAAAGCTACGAAGAGCGAACCTGACGGTGCCGGGGGTATAACTGGGCCACCGTGTCACTGGGGGACATAAATACAGGGACCTGGCCCTGCAGGTTGGGGGTTGCACGCCAAGCTGACGACCTTCCTCTGTAAAAATACTTTTTGCTGCGAAATCCAAAGAAGTGAAAGCCGGATTCAATCTACCATGATCTTCTAAGGAAGGTTATGGTTGAAAAACGGCTGTTCTGCCGATAATGATGATGATTGTTTAATGACGCTGCCCCTAACGCTGACTGTATACTTAAAATGGTAAGACGATTAATGAACAATGAACCGAAAAGGATTTATAAGGAATTTTAGGCGCTATGCCGACATTTTCCTGTAGGGACTGAGGAGATAAATAACAAACTTTAATCAGATAGTAGTCTTTGGCCAATATTCGAAACCCAGACCTCCTGAATACGAAACAGAAATCTTACACACTCAACTGTGAAGTTCGGTGGGCCTGTTGCAGCAGCTCCTGATGAAAAAGACGTCGCTATATGAGTTTGGAGCTTTCGTGCAATAATGATCTTCAAATGGAAAGCCAAAGTAATGCTGAGGGAAAAAATTTGCACCAGTGAGATTTATCCAACAAAATTTCCACATGTACCAGTACTGAATTCGAATCTCCTAATTTTCAACTTCTAGGAATTCTCATGAGAAATAAGGAATGTGTAGAATTCAAGCGAATGGATGGTATTATCTTGAGCCATTTTTAAATACGAGTAACATCCATTAATTTCTGCTTTTGACACAGCCCAAATCGGTCGATGAATTCATCATTAACTAAAGGATAGTCAAATGGATAAGGTTATCACTCCCGGAGTTTGTTTGATTTTTAAATCATGGCATTTAAAGGCACTATTCCAACTACATTTATAGGAAGGTGACCCATAAACTGCGTTAGGTAAGGAGCTAGAAGCAACTGGCCATCAACTGCTCCAGACTACTACTCCGGCATTTTATTGCATTGAGCATTGAGGCAAACGGCAGCCCGACCAAGGCTAGTATCAGACACGTAGTAAATACAGGTCTAAACAGACATTCAAAGTTAATTCCCCCAGTAGGCTGATATTTGTATCTTGTTTTTTTTTATTCGCTTAGTGGGGGGTGGAGTCCAACTGGGTCCACTCGGCACGGCGGCCTATGTTTTGCCTACTGTAGCCTGCCCCGTGTGATTATGATGGTGGAGAATTTGGTGGAATGAAGATTGGTAGGGGAAACCGAATTACTCGGAGAAAACCCGCCCCAGTGCCACTTTGTCAACCACAAATCCCACTTGACCAGACCCGGGATCGAACCCGGGCCGCCGCGGTGGGAAGCCAGCGACTAACCGCTTGAGCTATGGCGCGGCCCTATATTTGTATCTTAGTTATTTAATGATGCTGTTTAAACTGCTTGGTTTACTTAGTGAACTTTAACTAAGCTGAGGTGAAGAATGTAAACTACAGAATTCCTAGCATTGATTTCTTAAGTATAGTTCCCTCTAAATTCGTTTGAAACTAGGAATTATCACAGAACTTTGAAAGGGTAATATCCAGTTTCAAAGGGGGAGAAAAGAGGATAACATTGAACATCTGTAGCCTGAATTTCTTCTGAAAATATTTGGTTCCCACCTCGCAGAATACAAAAAAAGATATGAATTATCGAACACTCAGTGTTGCTTAAGGAAATAATCATTGTTTATTGTAAGAATCATACAAAACATAGGCCTACAAACACATTGTGTGGATAAAATGCAGACTCACTAGTTCATGGAGTTGAGCCCTTCTTGAGAAGACCTAAATTCTACAGCTACTCAAGAACTTCCCAGCATACTGTGGAACCCGAAGGTTCATTACCGTGTACACAAGCGCCCTCCACCAGTCCCTATCCTGAGCCGGAACGCTCAAGTCCATACCATCCCTTCATATCTAAGATCCATTTTAATATTATCGACACACCTACGTCTTGTTCTTCCTAGTAGTCACTTTCCTTCTGGTTTCCCCACCAATATCCTATATGCAGTCCTCTTCTCCCCATTTGTTCTCTATGTCCTCCCCATCTCATTCTCCATGACTTGATCAATCTAATTATACTTGGCGAGAAGTGCAATTATAAAGCTCCTCGGTTTTCTCTACCCTCCTGTCACATCATCTCTCTTCGGCCTATACTGACCGCTGTGCTTTGAAGGGTTCAAATGGATTTCATGAAATATGTTGTGATGGTGAAAGGAGGAGAGTCGTGTCCAGTGTGGATGTTCTTTTTTTTGCGGTTCTGAACCTTCGCGTTCTGCTACAATGTAATTAATTAATTGCTCTGGTTGAAGTATACTTCACGTTTCAACCATTTTTTCTTGGAATTTCGCCTTTCTGTATATATCCACACTCTCTCGAGACATTAAATTACAATGAAGAATGCAGTCTTTAATATTATCAGTAATAAAACAAAACCAAAATCAAACTCCATGGTCTGTAGTCGGCAAGCGAAGTATACCGACCGAGCGACTGCCGCTTGTCGGCGAAGTTTGTGCCAACTTTAGCTGAAAGAGGGTGTGGCGTGGTCAGGGCAAAATATCCCCACAGCCGTTAATCTCGGTTTTCTAGACCGGAGCCGCTATTTCCTTGAAATAGCTCCTCAGTTATCCTCACAAGGCTGAGTGAACCCTGTTCCAGACTCACTATTTCTCAGAAAATCTGGTAGCGCCGGGAATAGAACCCGGGACTTATTGATCTGTAGCTAGGAACTCTGACCACAAACGCTATCATTATCAGTAACATATTATTTAATATATATAAATAACACTGATAATTCACAAAGTCGGTTTTTCTTGTAGGTCTTATGAAGAGTATTGAAAACCAGTAAACACATTTACCTGCAGTGTACGTTATAACTTGTACACTCTTACCACGAGATGACTGTTCGTGTCTCTAGCCACCCCTTTACAAAATTACGATAATCTCCCTTGGCGAATCTTCTTTATAATTGAATACGTGATGCAGTCTGACGTGTTCTTGCAGAGGAGAGGGGTAGTTACGAGACGTGATGTGGCTGCTAGGCAACGCAGGGGCGGGTCCAGACTTTAGAAGAGATGAGTCTCGAAACCAACTTCTCCCTTATAGGTTGTGTCGTCATCCAATAGAAAGACATTCTGGGAACATAAACCGAAACATACGAACATTTCTTACCCACGTGTGAAGACATTTGTGTCAATGGAGTTATGTACTTCACTTCTGATATAATTTCCTTCGCTTTCATTTGCCCAACTTCCTTGTGCATTACTTTATTTACACCCTTTCTTTCAGAAGTAAAGGTAAAGCTATCCCTGTAACAGGCCGTGAAGGCCCGTAGGGTTGTGAGACGTTGAGGGTCCCACATGATCTAGACAATCGGCTCACAGATGGCGGCAAGGTTGTCAGCCTTACGCGCCGGCCGCCCTTTACCCTCCAGGAAGATTCCTGGTAGTTATTTTTGTTAGAGGCTGAGTCGAACCTAGGGCCATAGTGCGCCTGGAAGTATTAGGTCAGTTGAAAAATCGACCTCATCGGGACTCGAACCCGCGACCTTCCGGTTTCTAGCATAGTGCCTCAACTAACTACGCTACCGCGTGCTCCCTCTTTTGAGAAGTAGACGTACGGAGAGGCATTTCCATATATGTTAGATTAGGCAGTCATTATTATGCACCAGCCCTACTTACTTACATACTTACTCATGGAGCTGAACCGTTCTGGAGAAGCCGCAAATTTTGCAGCTACTCAAGAATTCCCCAGCATATTATGGAACCAGAAGGTTCATTACCGTGTTCGCAAGAGCCCGCCACTGGTTTCTATCCTGAGCCAGATCTATCCAATCCATCCCATCCCATCCTATCTCTCTAAGATCCATTCTAATATTGTCCACCCATCTACGCCTTGGTCTTCCCTGTGGTCTCTTTCCTTCTGCCTTTCCCACCAATATCCTATACACATTTCTCGTCTCCCCCATTTGTGCTACATGCCCTGCCCCCCTCATCCTCATTGACTTCATTATTCTAATTATATTTGGAGAAGAGTACAAGCTGTGAATCTTCCCTGTATGCAGTTTTCTCCAACCTCCTGTCACTTCATCTCTCTTCGGTCCAAATATTCGCCTCAACACCCTGTTCTCAAACACCCTCAGTCTATGTTCCTCCCTTAATGTCAGAGACCAAGTTTCACACCCATACAGAACCACAGACAAAATTATAGTTTTTTATATTCTAATTTTTATGTTTCTGGACAGCAGACGAGAAGACAATAGGTTCTTGACTGAATGGTAGCAAGCATTACCCGTGTTCAATCTCGTCTTAATTTCCTCCTGAATCAGGTTTCGATCTGTTATCGTTGTTCCCAAATTCTGAGCTGTGCCACATTTTCAAAACATCTGTTTCCTATCTTTATGTCATGATTTTGCCCTGCATTTTGGTGACGAGACAGCAGCATATACTTAGTTTTCTCTGTTTCTACTTGTAGAGAAAACTAATTATATGTTACTGTCTCGTCACCAAAATGCAGGGCAAAATCAGCCTTCTTGTGTAATCAATTACATAGTAAAGAATTTCTGCTCATACCCACGAATACGAGTAGGCCTGATAGAAATAATTTTGAATTGCAACACCAGTAGAAGGTATTGTCCTCAAAATCTGCCAATTTTGGCACAGTCGCGAAAGATTTTCTTTCAAAATGTTATACCTCAACAAACGATTTTATCTAATTAATCACTTAATCTATAACTAACTCTGTTAACTGAATTTTTTCGAATCTGATCAGTCCCATTTCTATACTATTTTTCTCATGAATTAAATCACAAGTTCCATGAAGCAGAGCCTTTCTTGATAATCTTATAGTAGCTTAGCTAATCAAGAGACTGTCGAATTTCTTTTTTAATTCGCTTAGTGGGCGGTGGAGTCCAACTGGATCCACTCGGCGCGGCGGACACTGATTGGCCTATTGTAGCATGCCCCGGTTGATTATGATAGAGAATTTGGTGGAATGAAGTAGGGACTGTCTACCATTTGTAGAAACCAAAAATTCATTGTCCTATCCGTAAGACCTCGCCATTGTACCATATGCGGAGCGTGAGTGATAAATCCATATATTCACACCCAACTTACTTGTAATAATTTTAATAGTATCCCGCTATCTGAAGTTTTATCTCTCAAATTGTCTTTTCCCTTCATGTTTTCACACTAAAATCTTGATGATTAAATGATAATGAGCATATACATAGCGTGTACGCTAATTAAATCAATTTCCAATAGTAAGAAAACAGTCCTCAATAAATTCAGTTATTTGTATCACGAGTGAATTTGAAATACCTGTCTGTCTCAACTCTCATGCATCTCCGAGTAGAGGTTTGAACCTATAAACTATTTGGAATTCACTTTCAATCATGTAGGCCGTGCGAGAACTCAGGCGGTTAGTCGCCTGCTTCCCACCGCGTCGTCCCGGGTCATGTGGAATTTGTGGTGGACAAAGTGGCACTGGAACAGGTTTTCTCCGAGTACTTCGGTTTCCCCTGCCAATTCTAATTCCACCGACTGCTTCAAATTCATAATCTATCATCCGGGTCTGGTCCAGTAGGTCAGTTAGTGGCCGACGTACCAAGGAGACTCAGTCTCACCCCGGCCTAAACCATGGACCTAAAAAAAGGAATACAAGGCAAAAAACTTCATTCACATAGTCTTTACACAAAAGTACTAAGATTTTTATTTCATTGAATGTGTGTGTATATATATATATATACATATATACCTGTTAAGAAAACACTGTACCTCAGATTCGATCCCTAGCTTCCAGGGTAAAAGCCTCCTGCGCCTTTAAAGACCACATCCATATTGTAACATCCCTGAAAAGAAGAAGAAATCCTGTGGGAACGGATTTGCAAATCGCCCTATTTTAACAACACTTGGAATAACTTTATCATAAGCAGAAGGGAATATATTCCTCCCCCATGCAGAATTACATTTTAATTTGCTCTAGCCTGCATTTGACAAGAGGCGTTGCTTTTTTAATCACTGTCTTTGTGAAAGACACGTGACGCATCCATGTTGAGGGTGACTGCACTATTGAGAAGCACGTGTCCAACTCAGCTGTTGGCAAAGGAGGAGGGGATAAGGGGAGGGCAACAATGCGTCGCGTGACGTAGCGTGACGTGGCGGCATGGTCTGGGGGAGTAAAACTAAGAGGGTGGGGGAGGCAAGTGGTACTACCTTGAACCAACCCCTTGAACCATCGCGTCAGTCAGAGAGGGACAGAAGACTGGTTTTCATACAGACCTACATTTTTGTACAATTTATAGTTATATGAAACGTGATGACCTAAATAAGCAGCTCACGTAAACTGACGTCTCTCATTTAGTGTGGCCCATTGGCCATGTCAGTTCTTTTTGTTTTTCTTGCTGTCATTTTAGCCCACTTTCCTCGTTCTAAAAAAAAGATACAAGTAGGCTTATGAGATCACCTTATTGTGTGTCTAAATGTGTACACCCCTAACAACTTTCCAACGCCGAAATCGATCTTTAAGGAACTTGGCATATATAACATGCCATCTATGACCATCTCAATGGCATACTTCATAAATGCCGCCCATCAGTAATACCAACATTGCAGCCTGTGAAACTGTTGAGTTAATAAGTCTAATACTACTTGACAGTCGGAACCAGTCGACATAAAACTTCGTATATATATTCTATGACCTGAGACCTTCTCAGTGGCGTGCTTCATGGGTCCTTCCCTTCCAGTAATACCAACACTGAAGCCTTTCAAATTGTATTGTTTTATTTACGTCATTCGCGTACATACTATTTTCTCTTTCTTGTCTTATCAAAAACTCAATTCCAAGTGCAATGAAAGTAAATTCTTCCCAGAACTTCTTGTTTGTGGTTTATTTTATGAGCCTTCCACTATCTTGGCGATACTGTATACAGTGTCAAATGGTAGAATCATTGATGAATGGTTAAGTGGAAAGTATTTGAAAGGAAGTCTCAGTGGCTTAATTGAGGTACTATCCTGGCATTTGCCAGGAGTTACTGAGAAACTCCATGAAAACCTCATTCAGAATAGTTGGTATCCCGGCCGGGATTCGAAACGAGCATCTCCCGAGCATTACCGCTAGACTAACATGTTCTTTCGATCAAGCCGTACTACAGTCAATCTGCTCTTCATAAATTTGGAGATATTTTTAAATTAACAAATTTATATTTATATATAATATGCCTGGGACACCGTCGTCGTGTTTAATTTACAAAATTACGAATATAGTTTGGTCTGTATAAAAGGGGATCATTTTGGCCAATCCCCTGTCCTGGGGCGGGGGCAAACCTACTCCTATCTAATTTAACAAATTATAATTAATAATCAAAAATGTTTGAATTCAATTTCATTACATTTTTTACTTCTTCTTCTTCTTCTTCTTGACTTTTCAGAGATATTCGTTTGATAGATCTGATTTTCAAAATATTTATTAATGATACTCATACATCTGTATGACTTTCAGAGTGGGGTGGGGCCCCAAATTTGTATCACCTCCCTCAGGCCTTGAATATAGTAGTGAATTTTGAAATTATAATAATAAAAAAGTCTGTTGATGCACAGTAATTAATATTTTTAGGACGATGGATGTAAAAAAATAATAAAGATTTTCGTTTGAAATTTGAAGTAATAACAATGTGCTCGTGTGAGCTAAATAGACCATATAGTATATTAGCTTTGGGACCGATCACAGTGGCCGACCCGTCTAAGGCATGAACCGTTTTCGCCCGCTCGGACGTTGAGATCGCGGGTTCATATCCCCCTCGAAGCATGAATATCTATGTGCATTTATTCTGTATTTGTGTTGTTCTGTGTGTAGGTAACAGCCGTGCCACGAGCTGATCCCCCGTGAAAGGAGTCCTACCGACTTTGTATAGATTAAGAAACTGAAAAAGCGACCAAGTTCCACATGGGCTGTAGAGCCATAGATAGATAGATAGATAGATAGATAGATAGATAGATAGATAGATAGATAGATAGATAGATAGATATCGATATCTATGAGCAATTAAGTATTAGGTCATAGACAGGAATTTTGAAATGTGGTTCGGTGTTGGTATAGACACATGCATGTCACTCGAGTTATAAAATTGTTTATTTTAAATTATAAACATATTGATCTCTTGGATTTTCGTTTGAATTTTAGGCGAAGTAGTTGCCTAAGGATGGCTGAGATTAATTTTGTTCATTCTAAGTTCGGTTCGCCTCTGTAAGGCCGAGCGTGATGTGCAGCGATGTCATTAAGAGCTTTTCCAGAAGTGCCTGGTTCAAATTTCGACTCGTGTACCTGCTTCTCTGACTGAAGCTTTTCATATTTTCCCTTAGCTTTTCCACGCCCAAGCCAGGATTTTAATTTGAAACGCAACACACCTTCCTTTCTAATCCTTACCTACTCGACACGCATTAAACGTCACAACCGGTTACTTCTCCTGCCGCGTGTTTGGAAGCTTCCGCTTTCAACCCTCGGTGCAGAGACTGGTAAGTCCTAAGGATATATTGGTTTTACTCAGTTCCTCCAGGAAAATTTGGGGGGAAGTACCTCAAATCAATCTAAAATGGCTTCCTTCCACGTACTTTCCAATTCGTTATTCACCGATTATCCTACAATTCGATTCAACTTTGAGGTTGAACCCTGAAGATGGAGGCAATGTTTTCCTTCCAAATTTTTCTTCTAACCTTCCGGATATCAGAGCCATGTCCTGATCCAGGTGACCACAGTATCAGACGCGGTAATTGGAAGCAAGTCGAGATTCGATCCCGAGATTTCCCGAATAGAAGCAGCGATACCAGTTGCTCATCATTAAAAATAGTTACACAGCAAATATCTCTTGGTGACCGTGGCAACTTCCATAGCCGTCGCACAGTACATCCAGTGACCAACGTTAATTTATGGTTAAATTACAGAAATGATTGAAATGTCATTTTAATGAGTAAGCATGTGAAGGCAAATGCCACTCTGTACACTGTCAGCCGGTAATACCTATATCTACTCTGCTGTGTAGACGCTACTGTCCGAGATGAACCTTTTACCCTGTTTCACAGTTTCTGAATCTAACAGACAACCGGTAGGAATCTCTCGGCAGAGGATCAGCCCCTCGTAAAGCTCAAACATCCATGCCTCGAGTGGAATTCGAAACCACTACCCCAGTGTTAAGCGGGAGAAGACGGTTCATGCCTCAGACCTCAAGGCCACTGTGAATGGCAATACTTGTAATAACAAGGCACATGCATGAGAGTTATTCATTACATAAGACTTCCTGCTTCATGCAATGTTCAAGACCAATAATCTGTCTCTTCTAATGGGTCTTTCGACAAGTAATTTTATGTGTTGGAGGTCCCTGTAATATCGTCTCTCATAATTTAAGTAATCTTACATGCTTTATTATTATTCTATTCGACGGCTGTGGAAGAGAAGACAGGTGAGAAGATTACTGATGAATTCTAGATTAAGTAATATTCCTCCGGACACTAAATTAGGACTACTAAACTATGCCGTGAAGATATATGGAGGAGTGGAAATATAACTCACCATTCTTGACCTTGGCACTACATGAGTAGATAATATAATCTGCGTCTGATTTTTGTCTTTAAGGTACTCGGTTCATATCTTGGCTTATTATATCTGTCGCTACTTGTAATTCCTAAAAGTTTGTCAGGCTTTGGTAGAAATTTATATTAGAAATTTGAAAATGTGCGTATAGCTGCATAACAGTGTTACCCCATGTACGCATATGATGAGCCTCCCCAAGCCTCCTTTATATAATTTATTCTGGAAATATATTTGGTGTCACGTAATATATATGAACAAAATTAGATTTTATTTACGGATAATTGACTTCATGGAATAGAGTTTTCATGAGAAGTAAACAATTTCTGAGCTAATCAAGTAATTCTCCCTAAGTTTCATTACCGGGTTGGCATGGGTCAGCTTTCAGTCCCTTGAGTTCAATACGCAACCTTCCATCCAGTTTCTCTAGGATCCATTAATATTATCCTATCTACACCTAGCTCTACCATATTGTCTCCTTCCCTCAGAATATACATCACACAAATTTATGGTGAAGTAATATTGATCTGTCTCTGGTAATTTTCAAAAACACAACTCCGAAAACCACAATTTAATTTGTCCATTCTTATAGTAAAGTATATATGGCAGGAGCGTCAGATATACTACGCATATGCCTCCTCAATTCCCAAAATATTTACCACCTGCGGGCATTCTACAAGACTCCTGAAGATGAACTGATGTTTTAGCGGGGAAAATTTATTCTCAAGTACTGGCCACGCCAAGTCGGCTTGGATCGATGAAATGCGCCTGAATGGCTTCTACGCGTCGAGGCAAGCCGTGCTGTTACGCTGTCTGCATAACAGCCAGACTGGTAGTTATTTGGGTTCAATAGTGGCGATCACCCAACAGCCCACACCTTAATCTGCCTTGAAATAACAGAGTATAAACTAAAGGTACGTGTCTCATAGATTGATTAAGTTATTTGATACTCCGGAAAAATTGACTTTGGGTTCCATAAGAGGCAGATAATTTCGTAACCATTTATTTGTCAACAGGTACTCTGATATGTGAGTTTAGACTTATTAGAGATAATGTCTTCCTCTATAAGCCTCCATGGAGTGATGCTTAGCAGAGGAGAATGACAATTTTACACGAATTAATACCTGAGATAATATACAGGGTGTTTCCTCTAGGCACAAATATTTCGTAATTTTTAATTCGCCCCATTGAAGCTGATAACCTTGAAAAATGGTTGAAATTTTATGTCACTTGTGTTCTATTAAAAATAAAAGGTAATATAGTTACTTTCAATAGAACTAAGCTCTCTGGAACTTACTGTGATAAAACTGTGTGTATGACGCGTGCAGTACAACTTCTATGATCGTGCATTCAGGCGGAATTGTCGGAGGTTCTTCCAGTCAGATCAGTCCAACTTATTAGGCCGCTCTTATGAAACTTATATTCAGTTATATTCCAACAAATGTTTCTTTTCGTAAGGAGCCTCGAAATTTGTTATTCTTACCCAAATGGGACTAATGCTGCAACAGTTAAATGAAATATGGTGAGATGGTTGGAACATGGCTTCGAAATGTGGTGTTGGAAAAGGATGGAGAAGATCAGTTGGACCGATTATGTGAGAAATGAAGAAGTGTTAATTAGAGTCAGTGAGCAGAGGAATATCCTACTAAAAATAAGAAACCGGGAGGCTAATTGGATTGGTCATATCTTACGCGGTAACTGCCTTCTAATAGGAGTTATTGAAGGAAAGATAGAGGGGCGGATAGAAGTGACCAGAAGACGAGGAAGAAGACATAAGAAGATGCTGGATGACCTTGGGGACAAGAGGGTATTTTCATTTGAAGGAGAAAGCTCTAGATCGCATCAAGTAGAGGAACTGTTTTGGAAGAGACTGTGGACCTGTCGTCTTGACAGATTACAGATGAATGAATGAATGAATGAATGAATTAGTCAAACATTCTGGCCAGGAAATATCAATTTTTGGGAGATATAGGATTAGATTGAAACCTAATAAGAAAGAAGTATCTTCGGTAAATTAGCTGGAATTGGTTAACTTTACTGACAAAGAATAATTTCCTGCAGGGAGTTTGGTTTTGTGAACATTGTAATGATCGTTCTGGTTCCATAAAAGACTGCGAATTTTCTTGACTAAGTGAGCGATCCAAAATTTTCAAAGGGGACCATATAGATTGCAGTTAATTTATTAGATAATTATGTAGGCACGTGTCCGTTTTCAATGACACTACAATTTTCCAGATTGTTCCTGATTCTCACAAAGATCACCCAACATTTTTTACAATAAATAAACAAAAAAAATACAGCATCTTATTAGACTGAATTCTTACATCAGCCACACCAAACGTTTCCCATAGAAATTTATAATTATTTCTTTTAACTAATTATTATCGCGGGTTCAAATCCCGATGAGGTCATTAGATTTTTTCAATTGACCTAATCCTTCCAGCCGCACTATGGCCCTGGCGTTGACTCAGCCTCTAACAGAAATGAGTAGCAGGAATTAATTAAAATATTTTCCTGGGGAGTAAAGCGCGGCCGGCGCTTAAGGCTGGCAACCTTACCGCCATCTTTAAGCCTATTGTCGAGATAATGTGGGACCTCAACATCTCACAATCCTATGGGCCTTCACAACGTGGTAGAGGGATAGCTTTACTTTTTTACTTTTTGCTTTTTATTAAAAAATAACGTAGTACCTGAAGCTACATTGCCAGCCAGATGTTTGGAGTGAAATGAACTAGCATTTCTCATATAAAATAATACTGTAAATTTTGTTTTATTTGATTGTTCCTTACTGATTTCAATCATAATTCCAGGTCAAATATGTACACTTCAAGAACACACTGGGTTAGAGGTTACATTTTACGTCCTTACCTGGGATACTCAGTGTGAATATCAACCAGGTTGTCAGTTGTCTTGATTGAAGTTTTTTTTTCGAAATCGCAATGAAACTTTGCAGAAATTCTGTTAACTTCATCATATCTCTCTGTCTGTTCTCATATAAAAACTCGAGAAAGTGTTTTCATTACCGATTCACATTAACTTCTGTAAGATCGGTCGAAAATACAGGAAAATTTACGTGATGATCTGTCAGCATCTAAAACAAAACATACAAGATATTTATCGAGCGAAAAAATGTTTAGGAAAAAGAAGTCGTGTGGATAAATAAAGAGAATTTTCTGTCAAACGGAACTGATTTTCTATATGCCTTACAGTATTCGAGACAATTACAAAGACACCGTGAGCACCAGACTTGTTAAGCTACGAGTAACCCTCCAAAATAATTTATGGGTTTCCTTAGTCTGTCCAGAAAATGAAGGAACGGTACCTTAAAATACGAATTACAAATTTCCCCAAGCCCATAAATATTTATTATTTAAGCTTGTCTTACGGTCTCATTCTTCGCTACATAATGTGTATAATCGAAACAGCGTCGGTAAATATCCTAATAATCAGTAATAATCTTCACGTGAACTTCAGTGACGTACATGAAACTATGAATGCCTCTCATACACAGTGCATGTCCCACCCTTAAATTCTGAGAACTTGCTTCCAGGATTTCTCTCTGTATTTTGAAATGTGTGTTTCAAGAATGAAGCGCAGATCGTGTTCTGTTTTAGCGTAGTAATATCGCATGGCAGTTAAGAGAACAGCCACACCTATACCGTATCCATCCACTCTGATCCAGTGCGTCATTTAGAAAATATAGCAAACATCGAAAATGTCGATATTCTGGCACGTCTATGGAATCATCCTATAGTTTGTGCCAGGGTTCGTGCGAAGAAATGAGGGATTTAAATAAAACAATAGCACACTAACTCCACTCTTTGATGTATCTGACATTGCCAAATGCCTCAGTTTTTATAAACTAGAGCGTCTCAGAAATTGGTTTTGTTTCCTTCTTCAGGGAACAGGATAAAATGAGTAATTACAATTCGTTGAGCTCCTTGGCAGAGCTAGTACCAAACTTAGGCCAGGAGCAGAAAAGTTCTATCTTGGTGTACATTGTCTTATCATTTTATGAATATAAAATTAACATTCTACCGCCCCGAAGCCTAATGATAGTAATATTTAAAATTTCAGTCCCTACCTCACATAAAACGTGCTATGTGTCATTGCAAAGACTAATCAGTTAATGCTATTTAAGTAAATAATAGTTTTTCATTCTGACAGTCATACGAAAATTATTAATGTATACATAGAAAAATGGAAAGAATTTTGAAACATACATTGTGCATAACAATAATTTAGACTTAAATTGTTAAAAGACATTAGTTACTATATGTACCACGTGTTTTAATATTTAAATAAAACTCTGAGTGTTGCCAGCATATCGTATTTTTATATTTTATACGATTCACAGAATAAACAGAGATCATTCAGCTGAACACTAAGCTATCGATCTGTGCAATGCAGTTGCACTGATTTCTCTGTAATAGGAACTGATTTTAAATCCTATTTATATTTATTTCTGTCTTCAAAATTAAGGTTTCTCCATTTTCATACGGAAAATTAAATCAGTTTTTCGGTATACGTGATAAATATTCCCTATAACTAAACTTCCGTAACACGTGTGTCTCAGAAATTCAGCCGTCATCCTTTACCAGTGAGTGAGTCACCATCACACTAAACTACTTTACTTCTTCATACCTTGTGCCTGTTGTAAATGGGACATCCTCCGTTCATTTAAAAATAATTAGCTTCAATTATAGTATGTATATATATATAAATGTACGTTCTAGCCTTATAGAAGTATGTATGTATATATATGCAGGTCACGGTAGCCGAGCGGTCTAAGGCATGCACTGTCTTCGCTCCTTGGAAACCGGGATCGTGGGTTCGAATCCTACTGAGGGCATGGATGTTTGTGTGCGTTTCTCTGTTTGTCTACAGGTAGAGGCCTTGCGACGAGCTGATCACTCGCCCAAGGAGTCCTACTGTATGTGTAAGATCTAGAAAAACCGAAGTGAACGGAGTTCATGGAGGTAGGCCTAGGCCCACTGGGGCTGTAGTGCCAAGGGAATATATATATATTAATGAAGGAGGAGAAAAAGACGGAGAAAGAGACACAGAGATCTGGGAAAGAAAGAGAGAGAGGAAGAGGAAAGATGGGG